GCTACCACCCCGGGTCATAGTGGACCTGGGAACACCAGCAATTAAGAGGTGGTTCCACACTCCTCAAAACCTCCTGATCCGAGGCCTTGCTGCTGGACGTAGTTTATCGTCTTACCAAGGACGCAGATGTAGTATATCGTCATACCCAGGACAATAATGAATATTTAACTCACCACAACTCTCTCTCTCTCTCTCTCTCTCTCTCTCTCTCTCTCACACATACACACACACACACACAAACACACACGCATATCCAGGGTGTAACAGAAAAATTGTCCAAATCGTTTAGCAGCATAATTATCAATCCCACAAAATATTCAATAACTAAAAAACTACTAAACTGATTGAGTTTCTTTTTTCGAGGTTTTCAGATAAGACGTTTAGCCATCTTGACACCATTTGTATATAAGAATCATTGTGAAACCCTTTAAGTTATTCAGCTAGAAAGAGAACCGTTTAAAAACATTTTGTGTCAGATGCTCAAAGAAAAAGGATTATTTAGGCCTTCAGTAATGGTACCAATATTCAAACTCTGGTTTCCATGTTCAAAATCCATGCAAGAACCATCAAAAGAACGGTTTTAAAAAGAGGGAACAATAGAGAGGAAAACTGAATCAGGATGTCATAGTAGGAAGAGGAATCATCATTTCAACTTAGAGCTAAAGAGATCAATTAGAAAAGATCCAACTCAATTCATAAGACTTTTGGCACGTGAGAGAAAAAGTTTCATCTACGACAGTCCAAAGAGCAGTGAAAAAAAGACTTGAAAATGAAATCGTACATGAACCCTGTGAGGCTCATTGTTACTCCAGGACAGAAAGTTAGAAGGTTAGAGAGGACGAAGATCATCTTGAATAAGTTGGAAAATCATCCTGAAGTAACATATATATATATATATATGAAATAATATATATATATATATATATATATATATATGAAATAATATATATATTAAATAATATATATATATATATATATATATATATATATATATATATATATATATATAATGAAATATATATATATATATATATATATATATAAACTTCATTCCAATACTTCATGAGATTCCGATCCTTAGAAAATGATTAATTAATGGTGTAATGGCTTTCGTTTTTTTCGACCTCATCGGACTAAGTTAATGTTGACGTTGATGTGTGGGGTAATCACTCACATCATAGCCAGGTTCGTGGTGAAGAGATTGATTTTAAAGTCTTTTGGCGGGATGTCCGGAATTTGTTTATGTGAAATTTGTGGTCAGTCTTGTTACGATAAATACGTTTAATGTGTTGTTTTGTAAAAGGTCCCTTTCGTGTTCATATAATCTTTTATTTAAATTCCTTGAGGTTTCTCCAGTGTATTCCGTCAGGTAATAGAGTAAGTTTCTTTAGTTTTAGATTATTGCTTTGTTATGCATTAATTAAGTTTTTCATTGTTTTAGATGTAGTTGTGACGAATTTTATATTGAGTTTAGATAAATTCTTTTCCTTTGTAGTTGTGCTAGAGTTAGTCGGTAGAACAATATATATATATATATATATTTGGGGGCGTCGTTAGGTTTATCAGGAAGGAGAATTCTATTTTTATTTGTCTTATTTCGGATTGTATAATAAGTAGTTAGATTATTAGATGAGCTTGGAAGTATTTCAATGTATTTATTTTCTTCATGTAATATATCTTTCCCCTAAAATTGTTTTTGATAAAATTGTTCTTATCGCACGCACACACACACACACACACACGCATCTATATATATATATATATATATATATATATATATATATATATATATATATATATATATATTCTGTCTATATTTCTGAGATGAGGGTATTATGTACATTATTTACATTATTCGGACTATTGTCCTCATCTTTGTCGCCATATTTATCACAACGTTTCGGCCGTTGTACGCTCTGGCCTTCTTCAGATGGTTAGAATTTCGAACTGAACCCTTTATTTCGCTCACCGGGTCCTGTCACTGGATCTAATCAACGCCTTTATCGGCTGTGACAGGACCCAAAGAGTGTGAGTTCAATACCCGGTTAAGGCAGTGGAGAACTTTCAGAGGGAAATTAGAGGGAGATAAATGATAACTGACATCCATCAAACATGGCATGTGGAACTAGAACAGTCTATCCCAGTGAGCGAAATAAAGGGCTCAGTTCGAAATTCCAACCGCCTGAAGAAGGCCGGAGCGTACAACGGCCGAAATGTTGTGATAAATATGGCGACAAAGATGAGGAAAATTGTCCGAATAATGTAAATAATATATATATATTCATCCACAGACAGACTGTTTCACAGCTCATCAGTGTGGCTAGACATCCAATTGTCTCAAGACGGGATCAAAACCAGATGATTTAGCATCAGTTGGAGAATTTGTTCCTGAGCTATCAGCTTCTGGTAGAGAGAAGGGGAGATTTTTAAGTACTTATTCTACGAATAAACAAAATATTCCCTCAGGAAATGATTTTTTCTCTAAAAATGCATTGGCCAGTGATCTTTATTATGAAAATGCATTGGAAATGATTTTTCCTATGAAAATACATTAGAAATGATTTTACTATGAAAATGCATTGGAAATGATTTTTACTATGAAAATGCATTGGTCAATGATTTTTACTATGAAAATGCATTGGAAATGATTTTTATTATGAGAATGCATTGGAAATGATTTTACTATGAAAATGCATTGGCCAATGATTTTTCCTATGAAAATGCATTGGAAATGATTTTTCCTATGAAAATGCATTGGAAATGATTTTTACTATGAAAATGCATTGACCAATGATTTTTCCTATGAAAATGCATTGGAAATGATTTTTCCTATGAAAATGCATTGGAAATGATTTTACTATGAAAATGCATTGGCCAATGATTTTTCCTATGAAAATGCATTGGAAATGATTTTTCCTATGAAAATGCATTGGAAATGATTTTTACTATGAAAATGCATTGGAAATGATTTTTATTATGAGAATGCATTGGAAATGATTTTACTATGAAAATGCATTGGCCAATGATTTTTCCTATGAAAATGCATTGGAAATGATTTTTCCTATGAAAATGCATTGGAAATGATTTTTCCTATGAAAATGCATTGGAAATGATTTTACTATGAAAATGCATTGGCCAATGATTTTTACTATGAAAATGCATTGGCCAATGATTTTTACTATGAAAATGCATTGGAAATGATTTTTCCTATGAAAATGCATTGGAAATGATTTTTACTATGAAAATGCATTGGAAATGATTTTTACTATGAAAATGCATTGGAAACGATTTTACTATAAAAATATTTTGCAATTTTATTATTACTATAAAAAAAATGTATTGCAAATGGTTATAACATAGAATTAGTTGCGTATGAATTTAGAGTGATTTTAATAATGAAGAATTCATAAGTTACTGGTAGGATTTTGTTTAAATTTCGGAAAAAATCACTGGAAAAAAAACCCTATTAATTGAGTAAAACTTTTTTATGGAATACTGTTTTGATGATATGGAAAACAATAATGATGCTGTATCCTTTTAGCTTTGAGGTCTACAAGGAAACTCGGGAAGTTGCCAAAATGCTCTGAAAGATGTTGTGAAGCAGGTGTAGCCTATTTTGAAGGAGATTAGAGTTTTGTATTATTTTGAAATAAAATAAATGTCTCTGCTGCAGAATGCTCAAAACTTCCGAACTTTTTTACCAAATAAAATTCGTGTTAGTATCGTCCTGGTGATCGGAGAAGTAAAATGCATGTTGATCTGAGAATTTCAAAGCTCAAGCGGTCGGATGACAAAAGGAAAGAGAAAGACATCTAAAAAAATGGTACCAGTCAATTACAGGAATGATCGGAATAAAGAAATGATTGGAATTAAAAGATCAGAATAATAGAATGATCAGAATAAAGCAATTATCGGATAAAGGTATATTCGGAATTAAATGAAAAGAATAAGGGAATGATCATAATAAAGAATGACTGGATTAAAGGAATGGTCATAATAAAAAGGAATGATAGGAATAAAGGAAGGATCGGATTTAAATGATCAAAATAAAGGAATGGTCAGAATATAGGAATGATTGGAATAAAAGAAACATCGGCATAAACGAATGATCGGATTTAAATGATCAGAATAACGAAAAGATCAGAATAGGGGAATAATCGGAATAAAGGAATGATCGAATTTAAATGATCAGAATAAAAGGAATAATCAGAAGAAAGTAATGATCAAAATAAAAGGAATGATAGGAATAAAGGAATAGTCGGATTAAATGATCAGTATGATTAAATGAACAGAATAACGGAATGATCGGTATAAAGGAAGATCGGAATTAAATGAACAGAATAACGGAATGATCGGAATAAAGGAAGATCGGAATTAAATTATCAGAATAACGGAATGATCGGAATAAAGGAAGATCGGAATTAAAGGATCAGAATAACGGAATGATCGGAATAAAGGAAGATCGGAATTAAATGAACAGAATAACGGAATGATCGGAAAAAAGGAAGATCGGAATTAAATGATCAGAATAACGGAATGATCGGAATAAAGGAAGATCGGAATTAAAGGAATGATAGGAATAAAGGAATTTTCGGATTTAAATGATTCAGAATAATGAAATGAATAGAATAAATCAATGATTGGAATTAAGGAATGATCGGAATAAAAGAATGACTGGAATAAAGGAATGATAGAATAAAGGAATGACCGGAATAAAGGAATGATAAGAATAATAGAAATAAAGGAATGATAGGAATAAAGGAATGACCGGAATTAAATGATCAGAATAAAGGAATGATCGACAATTGATAAATACGAATACGAAGATGTAATTTTGGGAGGACCTGGAAAAACGGCCTGGGGTGTGACTGAATCAGTTTGGGAGCGATGCAATTCATGACGGTCGTAATTTCTCGACAGAAGTGATTATGAAGTCATAATTGGTGACTACGAATACAAATCGCTATTGATTGGTTGTTTCGCTTAGTCATTTTGTTATGCTAGCGGTGTGTGCATGGAGGGGAGGGGACAAAATGGAAGAGAGGTAAAAGAAGAAGAGAGAAGGAAGTAAAGAACGAGAGAGAGAGAGAGGGAGGAGAAGGAGGAGAAATAAAATTGTAGAGAGGACGAGAGCGAATAAGAAAAAATAGTGGACAAAAAGACAATGAACTGTTAAGGCGTAGGAAAAGAGGAAAAAGAATCAGGTAAAAGTATGGATTGTTGATAGATAGATAGATAATGAACAGATTAAGATAGATAGATAGATAGATAGATAGATAGATAGATAGATAGATAGATAATAAAAGACTGAGATAGATAGATAGATAGATAGATAGATAGATAGATAGATAGATAGATAATAAAAATACCGAGATAGATAGATAGATAGATAGATAGATAGATAGATAGATAGATAGATAGATAGATAAAAATACTGCGATAGATAGAGAATAAAAATACCGAGATAGATAGATAGATAGATAATAAAAATACCGAGATCGATAGATAGATAGATAATAAAAAATACTGAGATAGATAGATAGATAAAAAAGACTGAGATATATATATATATATATATATATATATATATAGATAGATAGATAGATAGATAGATAGATAATAAAAAGACCGAGATAGATAGATAGATAGATAGATAGATAGATAATAAAAACACTGATATATATATAGATAGATAGATAGATGGATAGATAGATAGATAATAAAAACACTGATATATATATATATATATATATATATATATATAGATATATATATAGATATAGATAGATAGATAGCTAGATAGATAGATATGAATATATATATATATATATATATATATATATATATATATAAGTTTGTAGTAATCAATAACAAGAAAAGAAAAGAACAAGAAAAATAATATCGAGTAAACAAACAATATATGCAAAGGTAAAGTAATAGTAAAAAGGCGAAATCTTTAGAAACTAAGAATTGTGGTTGAGGCACAAGAGCGAATTCGGGTAACTGAATTCGAGACTGAGTCAGTTGAGCCCAACAAAGTTACCTATCTGATTGACTAGGAAAAAATCCCATCATACATCTGCGTGGTTCTGCCTATAAATTGGGGAGAGGGAAGTATGTTATATTCCCAGCAATATAAAAGGATACATATACCATAACATTTGCACACTCTTTTCTTTGATTCTAACGAAAATTTCGTGTTTCTTAATACTTTGTTTAGCTTTTAGAAGGCAACTCATTTTTTTCTGTATTGTTTGATTTTGGTATCTCTAATTCGTATTTCGCATCTTGTTTTTTATTTCCCTTGCTGACTCCGAACTATGCATTCTGTCTTCTTACATTTGATAATTAGTCCTTTCTTCTCGCTTTCCTTTACAACTTTTTTACTTCTAGGTTTGACATTAACACTTTGTTAATTTATTACTATAAACGTTGAATTTTTATAGTAGGTTCATGTGTTTTAGTTGCTACCCATTGTAGAGTGAGTATCCTTGGTTCAAAGTAAATGGTAGAGCTGCTCATTAAACAGAATTGACAAAGTTTACAATAAAAAGTATATAATAAAATAGAACGAAAAGAACATGGCTTGAAATAATATTGAATAAGCAAATAATATATTCAAGGATTTAGTAAGAAATTTCTTAAAAGTCATAAGGCAGAAAGTTTAGAAACTAAGAATCGTGGTTGGCGCACAAGAGCCGATTCGGGTGAAGGTAGCCATTTGACATCAAGACTGAGTTAGATGACACTGAGAAATGGTCTATCGTATTGACTAGGAAAAAATCCCAGCATGCATTTGTTGCGGGTCGTATGCTGAATGAGGTGTATCAGAAGGTAAATTTTTATAGGGTGAAAGTTATGCGTGTTTGAAATTGTGATTATCCAACAACAAATAAATTACACAAAGAACATAACGACAATAGCATAGCAAGAAATGACTGAACAACGTGATTAGAGATCAACAATAAAGAGATTTTTATATGCAATAGATACACATACAAAGATAAACAGAATTTTTGTTGATTTGGTAATTGAGATAATGTTGTGAAGAATACTCGTGCAGAATTGTGGTAAGTAAATGCTGATGCTTTTGGCTTGTTATTAAAATGAAAATAATTTTTGTGTCTGCCTAGTAAAATATAAAAATGTATTGTTATTTATGAGTCAGAATTAAGTTATTTGCCTTTGACTGATAGGCTAAATTGATGAATGTGCAATTACTTTGACGTAGTGAAAATGTTCACGCTTTAAGTCAATTGTAGGTGATGAATATCCACGCGGACAAATGGTTATTTGAAAGCTGCGTCGAGTTTGTTGAGAAACTTTAAGTGGTTGCGAGTCAGTAAATTGAACAGCGTGGAGTTTGTATGGATCTCTTAAAATTTGATGACTGACTGACTGACTGACTTGAATTGAGTCATGTGTTTGTTACTTGGGTGTTTAAAATTCGGCTCCAGGGACCTTAGGCGGGAAAAAGTTCTGTTGTGGCTTTGCTACAGTTTTCACCAATAGAAGATTTAATTTTACTGAAACGAAATGTTGATTGGTTAAGGCTTTGTTTTATAAAAGGAAACATTTTTCCGAAAGGGGTGGAAGGTTAATATAGAAGATTCCATACATCTGTGTGGTTCTGACTATAAATAGGGGAGGTGGGAGTATTTTGTATTCACAGCAATATAGGAGGATAGATATGCCATAACATTTGCGCACTTGATTCTAACGAAAATTTCATGTTTTTTAATACTTTTTAGTTTTCGGAAGGCATCTTATTTCTTTTTATTAAGCAAATAATATATGACAGGCAATAGCAACAGTAATAAGTCAAAAAGTTCAGAAACTAAGAACTGTGGTTGTCGCACAAGAGCGAATTCGGATAACTGAATTCCGGACTGAGTCAGTTAAGCCCAACAAAGTTGCCTATCTTATTGGCTAGGAAATAATCCCAGCATGTATCTATGTGGTTCTACCTATAAATTGTGTAGGTACACGTATTTTCCATTCACAGCAATACAGGAGGATAGCTATACCATAACAGGTGCGCACTTTTTTCTTTGATTTTAAGGAAAATTTCGTGTTTTATAATACTTTGTTTAGCTTTTGGAAGGCATCTTTCTTTTTTAATATTGTTTGATTTTGGTATCTTTAATTCGTATCTCGCGTCTTTTTTCCCCTTCTTAACTTCCAACCATGCTTTCTGTCTCCTTACATTTGATAATTAGTCCTTTCTTCTCGCCTTCCTTTGCAACGTAGTCTTGTATTTCCTGCGGTTTTTTTTCTTCTGGGTTCGACATTAACACAGTGTTAATTTATTGCTATAAACGTTGAATTTTTATAGTGGGTTCCTGTGTTGAAGAGTGAGCGGCTTTGATTCAATATAAATGTTAGTGCTGCCCAACAAACAGAATTGACAAAGTTTTCAAGAAAAAGAATATAGCAAAATAGAATGAAAAAGAACAAAGTCAGAAATAATATTGAACAAGCAAAGTAATATATGCAAGGCAAAGCAACAGTAATAATGGCTAAAAATCCAGAAACTGAGAATTATGCTTGACACACAAGAGTAGATTCGGATGAACATAGCTTTCTGACATCAACACTGAGTCAGATGAGCCCGTGGCTTATCTTATCGGCTAGGAAATCCACTCCCGCCTGCATGTATTTGTTTTGTTCTGTCTATAAATTGGGGAGGGCAATGTATTTTAAAATCGTTCCCTAATACAATTGAAACCAACATAAAACGTTACCATTGACCAACAAGGCAGCTACCAGAGTTGTCTACGAGGGATCAATGAGCACACTTCATTTCTCTAGACTGTAACTGAAGTTAACTGGTTGCATAAGACCATTGATATCATTACATTGCATCAAATCACCTTCCATAAGAAAGAATGGAACTAGATGTTAAAATACGATGAATTAATAACGAGGTGGAAAAACAATGGGTGGAAATCAAGCTGTTTGCCAATCGATGCAAGGTCTTTATGCAAAGCCCTAACTGATATTGGCGTAGTAGGTGCTAACAAAAGAAAGGCGATTCAGACCATTTCTAATACAGCAGAAAGGACAGTAAAATGGTTATGGATTAAACGTGATAGCTCTTGGACTTCAATGTAACAAAATAGTTAAAATTATCAAGGCGGGTAAATTTGTAAATCATAATTATTAATATAATTGTAACATGGCAATAATATAAACATCACCTTTTTTATGTTTAAATACACGACTTGAATTATACAGATACAGTCAACGAATATATTATGTCAATTTGTAAATTGTGTTATTTGTAAATATGTATTTTTATGTTAAACCCAATTTATACGCGGTAAATTTAAGTTACTACTTACCTTTTAGCGGTTTTGGTGCGACTCATCTCGTTAAGCTTTTTGTATTCTATTCTTATATATATATATATATATATATATACATATATATATATATATATATATATATATATATATATATATATATATATATATATATATATTTAATTTTATATTTACACGAATATTTCGCATTTTGTATATTTTAATCGGAATCATAACACATACATAGTGTATTTATAGAGTTTTTCTCTCGATCATCCCTATATATCGTTTGTATATTTTATTTTATCAGTTAAATTGTCGTTGGTTTTAAGCTATACATTTATATATACATATAATATACAATATAATACTTAATACAGTGTAACCCGGATATAAGAGAGTTGTCGGGACCGGAGAAGAAGTCTCTTATATCCGGGTTTCTCTTATATCCGGGTTTGGTCTATTTTATATACATTAACACAGGCTCTAATTTGGGACCAGAGAAAATCTCTCTTATATCCGGGTTTCTCTTAAATCCGGGTCTCTTATATCCGGGTTTCTCTTATATCCGGGTCTCTTATATCCGGGTTACACTGTATTGATTTTATTTTAAAGGATATAAGAATGTATTGTAAAGTAGATCGCACTTCTTTGATAGTCTATTTTCATTTCAAGAATATTTTGTAGTTTATTTTATTTAAAAGACTTCAAATTTGTAATTAGTTTTAAATCAATGTTAAGGAATATTATGGTGTTTTATGTATTTTTTTTCTATTTTTTTTATTTTATTTTATTTTTTTTATTTGTTGTAACGATCACAGAAATGGTAATCATCAGCTAACAGATTCCATTGCTATAACCTGGAACCAAACAATTCCGGTCTACTCTTAGGAAATTACAAATCTCTAAGTCTTTTAGTCACTTTGAGTTATTCAAAGACGGATGTCGAACTATAATCTTGGTCATATGAAGTTGATGGTCCGGACCCTTAGATTCCATTTCCTTCTCCATCATCTGACTCAATTTCACACGATTCCTGTTTTTTCTGGAATTGGTATGTCTTCATGATAGGAGACAGGACGTAAAGACGATATAATATTTGTATACTATTTACATTATTCGGAATATTGTCATCATCTTTGTTGCCATATTTATCACAACGTTCCGGCCGTTGTATTCTCCGGCCTTACTCAGGTGGTTGGAATGTCGAACGGAACCCTTTATTTCGCTCGCTGGTGTAGACTGTTCTACTTCCACGTGCCATGTCAGTTATCAGTTATCTCATGTGAATTCACCTCTGCGAGTTCCCCACTGCCTTAACCAAGCATTGAACTTACAACTATTTAGGTCCTGTCACTGGATCTAACCAACACCTTTATTCATTGTACCATGTGTCCTTGAGAAAAGCCGAAGCGTACCACGACCGAAACGTTGTGATAAATATAGCAACAAAGATGAGGACAATAGTCCGAATAATCTAAATAAAATAGTGTAAATAATACCGTTTTCAGAAATATAGAAAGATAGAGAATATTTGGATATTGACCTCTCCATTTCTTTTTCTTTGACAGTCCCTTTTCTTTGGCAGCCCATTTTCTTTGACAGTCCCTTTTCTTTGACAGTCCATTTCCTTTGACAGTCCCTTTTCTTTGACAGTCCGTTTTCTTTGAAAGACCATTTACTTTGACACTCCATTTCCTTTGACAATCCATTATCTTTGACAGTCCATTTTCTTTGACACTCCATTTCCTTTGACAGTCCCTTTTCTTTGACAGTCCAGTTTCCTTGACAGTCCCTTAGCAATTGGAAGGGCCGTGCAAAAGAGCGACATGATCAGCTGGCTCACTCTAAATCATGTTTGGTTTGGTTTGTTACATTTTATGACATAACAACACCTCAATTGGTTATTTAATGCCGACAAAATTTTTATTACTGGTAATATTTTTTTCTTCAAAAATGTTTTGCTGGTAATAATTTTTTTTTACAATGTATTTCTGGTATTAAAACATATTTTTACACACTATTTTACATTGTTCAGACTATCATCCTCATCTTTGTCGCCATATTTATCACAACGTTTCGGCTGTTGTATGCTCCGGCCTTGTTCAAGTAGTTGAAATGTCGAACTGAACACTTTATTTCGCTCACTGGAGTAGACTGTTCTAGTTTCAAGTGACATGTTTAATGGATGTCAGTTATCAGTTATCTCCTGTTAATTCCCCTCTCCAAGTTCTCCACCGCCTTAACCAGGTATTGAACTCACACTCTTTGGGTCCTGTCACTGGATCTATCTAACGCCTTTATCCACTGTGCCATGTGTCCTTGAGGGCATTCCAACCACCTGAAGAAGGCCGAAGCGTACAACGGCCGAAGCGTTGTAATAAATATGGCGACACAGATGAGGACAATAGTCCGAATAATGTAAATAGTGTACATAATACCTCATTTCAGAAATATAGATAGATACTATTTTTACACTTTCATAGTGTTTTGACCCAACTTTGGGGGGGGGGGTAACTATTTACCCATAGATGTGACCCAAACACGTGCTACCACACCGAGTCAGGGTGGATTTGGGAACACCAGCAATTAAGAGATGGTTCCATGTTCCTCAAAACCTCCTAATCAGAGGTCTTGCTGTTTGACGTAGTTTATCGTCATACCCAGGACGTGGACGTAGTTTATCGTCATACCCAGGACGCAGACGTAATTTATCGTCATACCCAGGACAGCTTTAAATCATAACCACTGCAAAAGACACACATTTTTTTCTTCCTTGTTAGCCATGGACTGAGAATTCTTCAGCAGGTATTCTTGCAGAATTAGAGCAGGTTGATTTTTTTAATTTTTTCAGAAAAATCAACATTGCACTCGGTGAAAAGGCTGGGCTTTAATGTCACAAATATTGGCAACAAAAAACAAATTCATAAAGTTTTACCAATGTTTTGATCATTTAGTTTTAAAGATTGTCTGTTAAATGTACAAAAATAAACAAATTTTCGCCGGATTTTGCTTACAAACTGACTTCAAAATTTTACTATTTCAAGAAGAAATCCAAATCAATATCTTTTCTATTAGATACATTGAATGGAAAATATATTCTAACCAGAATTCTAATTAAGAATCATAGCAAGCAAAATATGTATTTTTTACTGTATTGGATAAGTATAACGATGTAAAGATTTGTCAAAGATTACTAAAAGGACAATTTCAAGAATAAATCCAACTAAAGTTAATATCTTTTGTATTAGATACATTGGAAAATATATTCAAACCAGAATTCTAATTATGAATAATCACAAGCAAAATATGCAATTTTTTTTACTGTATTCGATAAATAAAAACATTGAAAAAAATTGTAAAAGATTACAAAAAATTCTATTTAATGAATAAAGTTTGTTAGATCATTTGTTCGGTCATAATTAAAAAAAAATAGATAAAAATGTATATAACACACTAATACTGCTGGGAATAAATTATAAGACAAAATGTTTTAAATTTGCATTGTTTATTGAAAATCGCACTAAAACTACTGCACTGTTTAACCATATTGCATCATTATGTGACTAAATTGTTCAGTACAATTTCCCTTTGAAGTAAATGAAGGTCTTATCTCATCTACTAATAATGAGCAGACTAAGATAGATAGATAGATAGATAGATAGATAGTGAACAGACTGAAATAGATAGATAGATAGATAGATAGATAGATAGATAGATAGATAGATAGATAGATGAGTTGAAAATTCTGGATTAAATCCGTCAAAATTATTAAGAAACAAGTAAAAAAAATTATAAATAATACATGTTTTTACTTTTATTCAATAAGTAAAATCTGTGAAAAAAACTTGTAAAAGGTTACAAAAAAAGGCAACTCAGTGAATAAAATTTTTTTGATAATTTGTTAGATCATAATTAATAAAAACAAAAAATAGTTAAAATGTATATAACACCCTAATAATACTGGGTACAAATTATAAGACAAACTGTTTTAAATTTGCATTGTTTATTGAAAAATCATGCAAAACTATTGCACCGTGTAACATCATTATGTGGATAAATTGTTCAGTATATTTACCCTTTGAAGTAAATGAAGGTCTTATTTGATGGCACAATGATTTAATAATAATTTGCTTGTGGCATGCATCTTGTCCAAAGTTTCAATAAATTGCAAATTTTATTAGGATGTTCTATAAGGCTTTAACTGATTACAGCTATTAAATTGCTACTCTACCATTTTTAACCTAAACTTAATATTTAAACACGTTTCCTCAAAAAACGATAAGGATTTGGGAGAAAATATTTTGTGTTTTTATTTATCATGTGATAGCGTAACTATCAGATAAAGTGCAATGCCACACTTCCAAAATCGATCTATTCTGTTGACGATTATTTGGTACTCACTTTTTGTCTTCCAATTCTTGTCTTCCAATTCTTGATGTCCAATTCTTGGTTTCCAATATTGCATCTAAAATAGAATTGGCAAGCTTTTCTCACAAGACTTTTGTCACTTCGCCACACACATAGCAGAAGTTATCGGTTTTGTTTAGACATTCAGGGGACATTTTTCACAGGCCAATTAATGTGTGAAAACCTGAGTGGAAAGAATAATAATAATTAGTTTATTAGGGGAGTGATTATATATAATAAGATTATTAGGAGACTAATAATTAATCTGGCAAGGACAATTTGGAGGGAAAATTCATATAACAGTAGTACTGTATCTTGAAAACTAGAGCCAATCAACAATTTGGGATATCAGTTTTATTTCTAGTGTCACAGAATGAACTAAGTTTGGCTATTTTAATTTTTGAAGTTTTCACGTTGTTTTAATTTATATATATATATATATATATATATATATATATATATATATATATATATATATATATATATATATATATATATATATATATATATATATATATATATTATATGTTCAAAACATATATATATATATATATTTTTTTTCAAAGGCATCGTGGAGTAATGGATAGCGGCTTGGATTGTGGAATCGGATTCTTGAGTTAGTATTCCAGTCGAATCCATTACATTCACTTACGTGCTAATACCCTTTTGGAAAACGTATGAAATCATCATCTCCCTCCAGCTATGGGTAAAATAGCAGGACAGACTGGATGGCAACTGGTCTAGGACAAGGACAACTCTGAATTCAAAACCTGCGGAGGGTCGTTTGGGAACCTTGTGGCATTCGGTGCACCAGGTCTCTGTATTCGTCTTTTCAAAAAGTGTGGATGGTCCTGCACGAAACCTTCACCACTATAATCAAATCTCTTGTGCTATTGTCGGGCTGTCGGTTTCCTGGAAACTCATGCGTAGAATTCAACGGGAGTGTCGACTATATATATATATGAAAACAACAATATCTCATTTTGACAGATATATTTACCAAAATGACACAAAAATATCTTCAAATACTAGAGAGTAATTTTATTCAGTAAAATTGTCATTGGTTTCAACCACGGCCTCCAGACGACCTCGGAACGTTGAGTCTGAATGATCACTCCAAACACCTTCGTCATCACCATGAGGCTCATCCAACTCTTTCCTGACTTTCTGCACTGTCATGAGATTGACAACCAAATATATTGAAATGTTCCTGTTCGAGCTTCCGGTGCGAATTCCAAGCATTATAGATAGATAGATAGATAGATAGATAGATAGATAGATAGAT